ATAGGGGGAGGAGTGAAGAGCAGGTTGAGGAAAGGCCGTCGTCAGTGCCCTCCTTTCTCTGCCACCCTCGGTAAGGCGAAGGTCAATCTGGTTCCAGTTGCTTCAGAGTCCGGGGGTAGTCGCGGGTCGGCTCATCCTTGATACTTTCACGAAAGCCAAAGAAAAAAAATCCATGAGGGCGTCCTCATTCCAGGAACAGTCCGCAGACAGCAGGTGGAAGTCAGTATTATATTCCAACACGGACCAATCTCCTTGTCTGAGTGTCAAAATCCCCAGGAGGCTTCCCTACTAGGAATAACTGGGCAAAAAATTCGGATTAGTTCCACAAAAAAATCATTGTAAGAGCTACAGAGATCAGGATTGTTCAGCCACTCTTTGACGTTGCCCATAATTTAGCTTTGCCTGCTAACAGAGAGATTACATAGGCAACCTTAGCATGATCAGAAGGAAAAGCGGAGGGCTGTAACTCAAAATGAATCTCGCACCTAGTCAGGAAATCTCTGCATTTCCCCCTTAAATCTCTGCAGGATCTCCCTTAAACACTTCAGGATCTCGCAGGGGCAAGGCAAAACTCGGAATCCACAGGGCAGAAACGGGTCACAATCAGGAAAACAGAACAGACTAAAGAATGCTAGAATTAGTCTCGCCAAAACTCTCGAATAACCTGGCATTGATGGGAGGAAAGCACACAACATAAATAAAAGAGGAACCAGGTGGAAATGATCGCCGTTAATCACCCGCAGAACCAATTAGAGAGGGGAGCAATGAGCAAAGGAAAAAACCAAACCATCAGCGCCAAGATCATGAGACTCTGTTGTTTTGATTCAACAAATTAAATATTTCTCTAAGAGCAAACTGAATTTCTGTCACTTTTTTACCATATCCTGACAATATTTTAGTTCTTAGTTCTTAGTTTAAATTTACATGTTATTCATAGTTTAAAAAAAAGACAACAAAGCTAGCCTGAATGTACTCCACAGTAAATACTACACAGAGTTCACAATCAGCAAATTGCTCTTTGGACATTCCAATAAGTCTTAAGTGCCAGCGAGAGACACAATAGAAACATGCCTCTGTAAGAGACAGATAATATTGGAATAAGAAAAAGAAAATCACCCGAAATTTATATGATACATTTATTTATCTTAGTATTTAAGAAGGGAAAAGTCAGATTTAGGTGAGCACTTACCTCGCATAAAAATATCTCTTCTTTTTCTTCTAATAAAATCTTGCAGTACAAACATGCTACACGCTATTCTTCTAGACTTCTAACAAGTCTATAGAGAGAGAAGTAAACATGCTTTTTATACATATGGGTTCAGAGTCAATATCTTTAGCAAATGTCAATGGTTCTAAAACAGAAATAACGAAAAACAAATTGAAACGGGAATGAGATCATTTTACAAATAATTCTATTTCTGTATCAGAAAATAAATCTGCAGATGTAATTCATCTATCAGCTCTTAATTTCAAATTTTTAATGATTTTGTTCCTTTCCCTGGGCTGCCACCTTATCATGGTGGAGGGGTTTTAGTGTCACATTGGAACTTTACCTTAAAGAAGTCCCCCTCAACACATTGACTAAGGATGACAAGCCTGGACTTCAGGGACAGACAGACATGTTGTGGTGAAAAATTTATTTCTCTAACAATAAATATTATTATTTAATATTTATTTTTGGACAATATCACTATAAGGAGCAATAATCAATTCAATCCAAAGTGGACTGGTCCCTGGTTCAAGCAAAATATTGACCTCATCGATAGACTGAATTTTGAGTCCTTTTGTTTAGAGTTTTGCAACAGATGAAGTGGGCACATACACTTTGTGTTTGCCTACTACCCGAGCTGTGAACATCCTTTGAACAAACTGCTTCTTTCACTCAACTGCATCTTTGCAGTCAGAGTCTAGATCATCCCTTATAAATGTGTCAAACTCAGAGAGTATTCACTGTCTGCACCGTTTAACAATGTTCAATCCAATGATGCCAGGTAAAGAGTCTGGTTTGTTTGCGTCATCATCTTTGAGTATGAGGAAAACCACTTTCTGAGATGATAAACCCCATTACTGAACCACTTAGCAGTGTGGTGCAAATCTCCGTCCTCTCCATGAAGGTGGTTTCTGAAGAAACTTTCAGTCAAAGTCCTAGCATGATTCCCTGTGTTCAATAAAAACCTCAACGGGATACCGTCCTACTGGATTTCTACCTCTGGGCTCTTTCCTACAGCGTTTTTTCTGTAAGCCTTCTGACCTGCCTCAAACTGCCTGGCTCATAGCAATATAGACCTCTAGTTTCCTTGTGCTGCAGGAGTAGGTGAAAAAGCAGGTTGGGTTCCTGGAGCAGCAGCAGAATAGTGTGGCACAGTTGTGTTGGGATCTGGAGATTCTCCACCTTCTCCAGCAGAGTGCGCTGTGGATCCTCCTGGGCTGGAGCCCTCCAGCACAGCTGACGTTCATCAGCTCATCAGGAGACTGGCCTTTATAAGCAGCTGCCAGACCTTCCTTCTACGTGTTAGCCAAGTTTGGTTAGCGAACCTGAGCCTTTGAATTTACTAATCTTTGTCTTCCTAGAGAAACCTTATTCTAATCTGCCTCTGTCTTCTCGCTCCTAGGAAACCAATCTCTCAAGAGAAGCTCTGGATGAGCTTAACCAGAAACCTGCCTGCCTGCCCTAGAGAGCCAAACCTGAAGTTCCCACTCTGGAATCCACTTGCTGCTCTTAGGGAAAGAGCTGATCACTCCAACCAAAGTCTTTCACTGGAAGTCAGAAGCTAGACGCTGCTGCTGCTTTAGCACTCTGCTGAACCAACAGTCTCTGGACCCAACCGGTTCCCTCTCTCAGAACTAAGCCTGGACCTCTTCAAGGTATCCACTGAAACATCTGAAAATTCATTTAACTAATCTGCAAACCAAGCTAACCAAACTATCCGTCTCTGCAGACGCCAGAGAATCCTGCCCGGACCAGAACCTGAGTCTAGTTGATGTCATTGTGTGAAACCTTTAATAAACTCTGTTAAATCTTTTACCAAGTCTCCAGTGGTGTTCTGCATGTGGGTTTATCCCTAAACCGATCATGACAGGTTGAGCAGCTTATGTGGCTCCTCAACATAACAGCAATTGAGATCGGCTGCTCATTGGGTATACCAGAACTCGTCTTTCTAATCTGCTTCCACAGGTGGGTTCACAAAACACAGCCAGCTGGTTCAACCTGGTTTGAAGGGGACAAAAGAGTGATCACTGGGGCAGTCACTAGGAGAGGATTGGTTAAGGAGAGCCTGCCTGTCTTCCTGATCAATAATCAGATGTTCAGTAATTGAACATCTCACAGACTCTGGCACCACAAATTGCTCAGCACCAACGGGACTCTCCTCATCTCAAACACCTTGGACAGAGCATCGGGTTTAAGATTTTTAGTCCCGGGCTTGTAGGACAGAGAAAAAGTAAAGTGGCCAAGAAAAGTGCCCACCTCACCTGTCTAGGACTGAATCTCTTAGCAGACTTAAGATACTTTTAGCTTTTGTGGTCTGTCCAAACCGGAAAAGGAATCTTGGAGCCCTCCAACCATTATCTCCATTCCTCTAGAGCTAGCTTGACTGCCAGCAACTCTACAGTCCCTGACATCATAGTTCCATCCAGCAGCTGAAAGATTCTTGGAGAAAAAAGCACAGGGATGAATCTTCCCATCTTTAGCCTCCCGCCTGAGAACCGCCCCAACCACTGAACTAGAAGCATCCCTATCCACAATGAATTCGCTCTCAGGATCTGTAGAACAGGCGCAGAGGTGAACGAAGAATTAAGCCTTTGGAAAGCATGATCAGCCTTTCCAGACTAACAGAACTTAACCTTGGAGGAGGTGAGACCATGAAGGGGTGCAGCCACCGGACTGTAGTTCCTGATAAACCTAAGGTAAAAGTTGGCAAACCCCAGGAACCTCTGTAGTTGCTTCTTATCCCCGGGAACCGGCCAGTCGCTAACTGTGCTTATCGTCATAGGGTCCGTGGAGCTCTGATCATTGGAGACCACAAAACCCAGAAAACACATTGTGCAAACGTGGAACTCACATTTCTCTGCTTTGACAAACAGTTGGCTCTGAAGCAGACGTAGAAGAAGAGATCTGACGTGTAACATATGGGATTCCAAATCCCATGAATAGATAATAATGTCATCAAGATAGAAAAAAAGATAATGTCCCACTAGGTCCCTGAGAACGTCATTGACCAGATTTTGAAATACCGAGGGAGCGTTGGTGAGCCCAAAAGCCATGACCAGATATTTTTAATGACTGGTGGTAGTGTTGAAGGCAGTCTTCAAATTGTCACTCTCACGGATGTGAACCAGGTAATAAGAGTTACATAGGTCCTGTTTGGGAAAGATTTTGGCCCCCTGAATCTAATTAAAAGCTGATTTGATCAGAGTGATAGGGATTCTTTATAATAATGTCATTAAGCATCCTGTAATCTATACATGGCCTGAGGGAACCATCCTTCTTTCCAAAAAAAAAGTAGCCTGCACCAGCCGGAGATGAAGGACGAATAACGCCTGCTCTTAGTGACTCAGAAATGTATTTGTCGTTAGCGAGAGGCTCAGGGGCGGATAATGAATATAGCCTACCCCTAGGGGGTATGGTGACTGGCAACAAATAAATCCCAGAAGCATAAGGGCTTTGGGGAGGTAGAGCTGTGGGCCTGCTCTTCTTAAAAACCTCTCGGAGATTGCGATACTCCTCAGGAACCTTGGAAAGATCGGGGAAATAGTCATTAGCCACACCCTTTACTGACACCTCTGACTTGGTTAGGAACCAAGACACAAAGTAGCCCAGCCTAAAACCAGGAGACAGGGTTAAAATCTCAGACTTTTTTCTTAAGAGAGGAACAGTCCCCAGTGTGTCAGACTCATGTTGGAGGCGGTGCTCAGCATGTCTCCTCCTACGTCCGCAGCTTACACATAATACATTATACTCAGCAGCTGCTGAGCATTTCTGACTTTGTGATCCACAGAGAAAGACACAATGAGCGGCAGAGGAAAGGGAGGTAAAGGACTCGGCAAAGGAGGCGCTAAGCGTCACCGTAAAGTCCTCCGTGATAACATCCAGGGAATCACCAAGCCCGCTATCCGCCGCCTGGCTCACCGTGGAGGAGTCAAGCGCATCTCCGGTCTGATATACGAAGAGACCTGCGGTGTGTTGAAGGTCTTCTTGGAGAACGTTATCTGCGATGCCGTCACCTACACCGAGCACACCAAGAGGAAGACCGTCACCGCCATGGGTGTGATGTACGCTCTGAAGAGGCAGGGCCGCACCCTGTACGGCTTCGGAGGTTAAACTGCTCCGCTTCCAACCACCAATCAAAGGCCCTACTCAAGCAACTTCTACCATTAAACAGGCATACAATCATTCAGATTTTGTCAACAGTATCAACAGCTTTATTGCTTTATTTTATATAAAATGTTTAAATGGAGAATGAAGTTGGTATAGGTGTATATATAATCAGTCTAATGAAACCTAAACTGAACTCATGTGTTAAAGTCCACACTAACATCTGTTTTATTCTCATTATATATTACCATGTAACTAGCATGGAAACTCCATTTATGTGATTAGTTTCTTTTTTTTCTTTCTTGAAATTAAATCAGGTTTCTTTGGTTACATTTCCCCTAAATGTTTAAATGCCCTGTGATACTCTTTAACAGCTCTGCAAATTCATAATTCTACCAAGAATTATTGTTTTATGTTGTCCTATTTTTTTCTGATACATTCTACATTCCTGATCACGTTCTGTTACCTGATTTGTTTAGTTTTCTGTTTTCTGACTACCAAGAAAACTATTTTTTGGACATTTTCTTCCAGTTCTCCTTTTTAAAGCTCCAACTTATTAATTTAAAATCATTTTATCTGAATAGACCATCATTTATTTACACTCACCGGCCACTTTATTAGGTACACCTGTCCAACTGCTCGTTAACACTTAATTTCTAAGCAGCCAATCACATGGCGGAAAATCAGTGCATTTAGGCATTTAGACATGGTCAAGACAATCTCCTGAAGTTCAAACGAGCATCAGTATGGGGAAGAAAGGTGATTTGAGTGACTTTGAACGTGGCATGATTGTTGGTGCCGGAAGGGCTGGTCTGAGTATATCAGAAACTGCTGATCTACTGGGATTTTCACGCACAACCGTCTCTAGGGTTTACAGAGAATGGTCCGAAAAAGAAAAAACATCCAGTGAGCGGCAGTTCTGTGGGCGGAAATGCCTTGTTGATGCCAGAGGTCAGAGGAGAATGGCCAGACTGGTTTGAGCTGATAGAAGGGCAACAGTGACTCAAATAACCACCCGTTACAACCAAGGTGGGCAGAAGAGCATCTCTGAACGCACAGTACGTCGAACTTTGAGGCAGATGGGCTACAGCAGCAGCTTTCAGCTAAGAACAGGAAACTGAGGCTACAATTTGCACAAGCTCATCGAAATTGGACAATAGAAGATTGGAAAAACGTTGCCTGGTCTGATGAGTCTCGATTTCTGCTGCGACATTTGGATGGTAGGGTCAGAAATTGGTGTCTACAACATGAAAGCATGGATCCATCCTGCCTTGTATCAATGGTTCAGGCTGGTGGTGGTGGTCTCATGGTGTGGGGAATATTTTCTTGGCACTCTTTGGGCCCCTTGGTACCAATTGAGCATCGTTGCAACGCCACAGCCTACCTGAGTATTGTTGCTGACCATGTCCATCCCTTTATGACCACAATGTACCCAACTTCTGATGGCTACTTTCAGCAGGATAATGCGCCATGTCATAAAGCTGGAATCATCTCAGACTGGTTTCTTGAACATGACAATGAGTTCACTGTACTCAAATGGCCTCCACAGTCACCAGATCTCGATCCAATAGAGCATCTTTGGGATGTGGTGGAACGGGAGATTCGCATCATGGATGTGCAGCCGACAAATCTGCGGCAACTGTGATGCCATCATGTCAATATGGACCAAACTCCCTGAGGAATGCTTCCAGCATCTTGTTGAATCTATGCCACGAAGAATTGAGGCAGTTCTGAAGGCAAAAGGGGGTCCAACCCGTTACTAGCATGGGGTACCTAACAAAGTGGCCGGTGAGTGTATGTCCTCACTTGCAAAGGATTCCTCTCTAGATTCCTGTCTAACATCCCATTCAAACTGATGTAATGTTGTCACATGAAACTATATTTTAATAACTCTTGTACACAAGAGCTCAAAGTAATCATGATTGTTGTTTTTATTCTTCCTTTATTTGGCTTTTCCCAGATATATACATCTGTTTATATTTCATCATTAGACGAATGTCTGTGTAGTGAATAGTTCGACACATTCTTATCTTCATATTTTGGAACTTGTGCTAACATATGGCATTGAAGATGAAGAAATAACATTATTTCCTCACAACCCTGTCCACTCTGATCACTTTTTAATAACCTACAGGGTTACTTTAACAGAGTTCTCCTCCCCCAAAAGAAGGTTTCACTTTAGCGGATCATTATCAGATAATGCAGTTATAAATTTTAAAGAATAACTTTAGTTTATTCCCCTTCACAGGTTGATTATTAATTAATGGGGTTGTTAGTTCTCTGTGTGCCTTAGACAACGCACCCCCCTTGGGAAAAAACAAAGCAAACAAAAACTTCCTGTTAAGGGAGTTTTTCCTCTCCACTGTTTTTTTTTTTGTTCAAAACTGTTGATTTTTACCCTTTAACAAAGAGTCACCATTGGTATGTATCTGTGGTTCTCTGTAATCTAGAAATAATCCACCAAGCAGGTTCATCTCTGAAAGATTCTATTTGGACCTAGAATTATTCTTAATTAAGCCAAGCACTGAGTTTATTGATAATTTTTTTGGTTAGCTCTCCTGCAACTGATCTTTTTTAGAGACAGAAGAGGAAAAAGATCACCAAGATAATAATGATAATAAATAACTTTTTAATGCTTTGTTGAGTCAAAATCTCCTCAAATAAGAATAAAAGAAAATATCTTGTCCACAGTCCTGCTCACATGCTAATTTTTCTGTGGAAAATTGCTTAAACTTAAAAACTAAATCCTTTTTCATCCTGAGTTTTCGAGGGAACTTTCAAAGGTTTTGGGGTAGAACAGATTACTGTTCAGAGATTTTTTTAGCAATTATTTTATATCATACCATCCGCCTTGGCAAACACCTAGTTCCATTTGAAGAAACATGATTCCAGGTCATTATCCTACCACTGCCATGTTTTACTGCAGTGATCTTTTTGTGATTTGTAGTGTTGTTTCTGTGCACTCCTTTGTTCAGCACATAAGGGATATGGCAGAATGTTGTTACATATAGAAAATTACCAGTAATACAGAAATTACTGGAACTTCTTCGTCACAACTTTTTTGATTCTTATTTCCAGTTCAAACAGATATCAGCCAGACAAAAATTTATTTTTTTATAATTCATTTTTATTTGGGATTAGCCAACGTTTCTTCTACATCTCAAAAGATGACATTGTCTGTCTTTATTTGTACAAATTTCAAATAAGAACCACTAGAGGGAGCAGTAATACCCCTTGTGAAACCACCAATCAGTGTGCCACATTTTACTCTGTGTGGTCTATGTATGTTTTGGTACCTTATTTGTGTAAATCAGATGATGTCAAATGGTGTGGGATGTCACCTGCTGCATGATGAGGTTAAATTGGTGAGCATAGCAGTGGATATAGTGTGCATTAGCGTAGTCATCCTTGATCATTTTCTGTACATCACCTGTAACACCTATGACACTTGCACCATTGTAAGCTTGGGAAATGAGCTTGCTTCTCTGGTCATCAGGGAGAATGGAACCAAGCCTATCCAGAAGTGTTGTGGCGATGTCTTTCAAACCGCTGTCTGTGCCTATTGGCCAACGCTCTGACCAATGAGCGTAACTGACTGTGACGTAGGAAGAGCGACAGAAAGATGGTGGGGGAGTGTGAACAAACAGCCTGTCGGTGAAATGGGGAATACGTCCTTCTTAAAAACAAAAGAACGTAGAGCCTCTTCCTGCTCACGTTTCAATGAAAACCCCAAATCTAATCCTTCTAAAACTGATTCCAAAGTTGAGTCAAATGAGAGCTGTTCAATAGTTGTTGCCATCTCCCTTGTGCTTTCTCCAGCGTTGCACAGCTTTGTCGTCCCGCCCTCAAAACCCCGCCCGCTTTGCATACAAAAATTCAAAATGCATCTCTGTTGTGATTGGAGCATTGATCGAGGCTAGACCACTGGCAGGAAAAAATGATTTTGGCCGATGGCGGATGGGGCTAGTTTACTAGGCTAGCTACCTAATACAGGTGCTGGTCATAAAATTAGAATATCATGAAAAAGTAGATTGATTTCAGTAATTCCATTTAAAAAGTGAAACTTGTATATTATATTCATACATTACATACAAACTCATATATTTCAGATGTTTATTTTGTTTAATTTTGATGATTACAAATGACAACAAATGAAAATCTCAAATTCATCATATCAGAAAATTAGAATATTACTGAAGACCAATAAAAACAAAGGATTTATAGAAATGTTGGCCAACTGAAAAGTATGAACATGAAAAGTATGAGCATGTACAGCACTCAGTATTTAGTTGGGCCTCCTTTGGCCTGTATTACTGCAGCAATGCGGCGTGGCATGGAGTCGATCAGTCTGTGGCACTGCTCAGGTGTTATGATAGCCCAGGTTGCTCTAATACTGGCTTTTAGCTCTTCTGAATTGTTGGGTCTGGTGTATTGCATCTTCTTCTTCACAATACCCCATAGATTTTCTATGGGGTTAAGGTCAGGAGAGTTTGCTGGCCAATTAAGAACAGGGATACCATGGTCCTTCAACCAGGTACTGGTAGCTTTGGCACTGTGTGCAGGTGCCAAGTCCTGTTGGAAAATGAAATCTGCATCTCCAAAAAGTTGGTCAGCTGCAGGAAGCATGAAGTGCTCTAAAACTTCCTGGTATGTGGCTGCGTTGACCCTGGACCTCAGAAAACACAATGGACCAACACCAGCAGATGACATGGCACCCCAAACCATCACTGACTGTGGAAACTTTACACTGGACTTCAAGCAACGTGGATGAAGTGCCTCTCTTCTTTTCCTCCAGACTCTGGGACTTTGATTTCCAAAGGAAATGCAAAATGTACTTTCATCAGAGAACATGACTTTGGACCACTCACCAGCAGTCCAGTCCTGTTTCTCTTTAGCCCAGGCAAGACGCTTCTGATGCTGTCTGTGGTTCAAGAGTGGCTTGACACAAGGAATGCGACAGCAGAAACCCATGTCTTTCATACGTCTGTGTGTGGTGGTTCTTGAAGCACTCACTCCAGCTGCAGTCCACTCTTTGTGAATCTCCCCCACATTTTTGAATGGGTTTTGTTTCACAATCCTCTCCAGGGTGCGGTTATCTCTCTTGCTTGTACACTTTTTTCGACCACATCTTTTCCTTCCCTTCGCCTCTCTATTAATGTGCTTGGACACTGAGCTCTGTGAACAGCCAGCCTCTTTAGCGATGACCTTTTGTGTCTTGCCCTCCTTGTGCAAGGTGTCGATGGTCGTCTTTTGGACAACTGTCAAGTCAGCAGTCTTCCCCATGATTGTGTAGCCTATAGAACTAGACTGAAAGACCATTTAAAGGCTTTTGCAGGTGGTTTGAGTTAATTAGCTGATTAGAGTGTGGCACCAGGGGCCATCAATTTTGAACCTTTTCACAATATTCTAATTTTCTGATATGATGAATTTGAGATTTTCATTTGTTGTCATTTGTAATCATCAAAATTAAACAAAATAAACATCTGAAATATATGAGTTTGTATGTAATGTATGAATATAATATACAAGTTTCACTTTTTAAATGGAATTACTGAAATCAATCTACTTTTTCATGATATTCTAATTTTATGACCAGCACCTGTATATTTATTAGACTTTACAATTCACAAACCAATACCTCGATGTTGTTGTTTTTTTTTTTGTTTTTTTTATTCCCCTAGCTGTGGTTGCCGTTGGTAACCATTAAATAACTATTGACAGCTGGCGTGTTTAAATTCAGGATGCCATTCATGTGGTGCTTTGCATGAACTATTTCTGGTTCAATGTGGGCGTGAAGTGGGTGAGTTGGAGCCTTGGACACAAACTTTGAGGCACAGCTTTGATCTATAAAGGTCACATGGTTGGTTTTGTACGTGCACATCGTTTTCTAGGTTAGGATTTTCTTGACACATTCTATTTTTAGGTGTTTGCAGTACTCTTTTGGTAGGGTAAACATTCCATCCAATGTTTTATACTTAAAACCTCTAGTTGGTCAGTGATGGAGAAGTCCATGAACTAGTTGAACCTGCCGGCTAAAAGCCAGCCATCTTGTTCTTCTTTCAGTTTCTCTATTTAAGCCATGTTTTCTGATCCGCCCTGACTGGTTGGTGCATTAAAAACATCACAGCTAGCCATCCCAAAACAGTCAAACTACAAAGGCTTTATTGAAATATAAATGTCTACTTTTCTTCCAGTTATTATCTTCAAAGCATTACATTTTACTTCTTGTTTTTACAACATTGCTGCTGTAATAATTAGGATTCCTGAGGCGTCTTAACTGTTGCTCTATTGTTGTTTTCATGGTGGTCAGATTATGTGGTTGACTTGGTGATCATGGGGAGCTGTAGCCAAAGATAATCATATTTTGACAAATTTTCAAATTTGAGCAGATGTCATTTATTGGTGCAGATACAATGATAAGACGGAATGAATACTGGTAAAATTTCACTTTTCTTAAAATCTTGCTCTATGATTTACATGATGTGGTATTTCCATTACTCTGCTCTAAAAAAATATTTGGTGCAGATATGGACTGAGCTTACTTTTGGAAAATTATACTTTATCTCTTAGACAGTGAGTAGTGTTTAACTAAAGTGAAACAGCTGACCACAAGTATAACTAAATACATATAATAGGACCTAAAATCAAAAACTGCCAGTTATGGAAATTATCTTAGTCTTTAATTACAATAGAATAACTTAGAGATATTTTTAAATGAGCAGAACAGGATATAAAACTGTTGTTGCTCACAGAAGAATCTAGCAAGAGCCTTTCAAAAATAGGTTCTGAAATATTGAGGGCAGGGTGGAGAATGACAATAGAAACACTTAATTTTGCTGATTGGAAATGTGAAAGTAGACTAAATATAATGCATACAGAGCTGAATTTAAAATGTATGAATTACACAGGAAAAAGGCGCCTAATACATAAAATAAAGTATAATCCCAAAATGTGCAGATGATAGGACACAATAACTAAGTATGAAACTAATCACAAAGAAATTAAATATTATTGAAAGTCTATATATAGAAAAAGTGAAAACAGCAAGGTTTTACTGGCAATTATACACAACCCAGAATGATCAGAACACACACAGAAAAGGAAAATCAAAACACAATCACCTGTGGATCATGAAAAAAATATTCTGCAAATTCTTACAATTTATACTATTATATGTATATAATAGTCTAGACCACCAACACAACATTAAAGGTGCTCAAACTTACAGATGAAGAAATATTGTGCTCACATCATTTAGATAGTTTTCACCTCATTACAATAGGTGATTTCCATGGCAGCAAACTATATATCGGTTATTAGCATTACTATACAACTAATAATAAAAAGTAGGTTTCAACCTGAAAAAAGCAAAAAGAAATCAGGTTTCTTATTTCTTAGTTTATAATTCTTTCTTCTCCTTTTTGAAGACTTTCCCATCAGGCTGCTCTCTCCACCTCAGGGTAACTCCACTCACTCCGTTCTTCTGCAGTTTGTCTTGGAGCTGTAGGATAATTTGAACACATAAAACATATAGATGCTTTAATCTGAGATTAGATTTAAGTATTCATTTAGCACTAAAACAGCCTTAATTCTAAACTTCCGCTTTTTAGGATGTGTCCTCTTAGAACAGGGTCATTCAGATCCACAGAGTCCTTTGTATGAAGTCTGAGCCTCACCACCTGTTTTACAACTAATTAAAAATAAGAGATTTTTCATTATAGAAAGTGCCAACCAAAACTGTACATGTTGCTTTATTGAATTAATTAGTAGTTGTTTTTCTTCCCTTTTTTTCCCCACTTTCACTTGCCAATTCAATTTCCCTAAGAGGCAGATTAGGCTTCCAGGACTTAGCAGACCAAGACTCCTGTCTTCAACTGCCACCCAGATAAAAAATATGGCTGATCACAGGCATAAGGACTGGTGTGGACTAGTGTTAATTTCGTTAACGAAAACTAAACGAAAATATTTTTGTCAACGCACATTTTTCACTGAACGAAAACTAGACGAGATGAGACGAAAATCCCCACTAATAAACATTAACTTGGAGTAAATCAGAAATAATTTTCGTGGACTAATAAAGACGAGACGAAAATGCAGTTCGGTAAATAAAGACTGGGCTAAAATCTATGGACATTTTAGTTCACGAACAAAGACGAGACGAAAATTACATATTATTTTATGGTTTTTTCAAACCCTGTCTCCTCCTCCGCTTCCTCCTTGTCAGCTCTTCCGCCACACACCCACTTTCAAACCTGGAGCGGGCGGACACAGAGTAGCCGACACAACACATACACGGCGAGGCAGCGACAGGTTAAAAGTAAAACATGCTTTGCCCGGGGCTCGGGAGAAAGAGGAGACGTGATACATGGACACATTTTGGCTTCATTGAAGTGGAGAACAAAACCAAATGCTTGATTTTAGTCAAAAGGAAGGAATGTGGCCACATGGTAGCTGGAAAAAACACAACAAAATTGAAGAGACACGTCGCAGTTCAACACAAAGACATTACGGTAAGTTAACAGAAAGATTGGTGGTGGTTGTTTATAATGTAACATTAAATCAACGGCTATAATGTCCCAATGATAAACTAACTAATGTTGGCTAACTTTCATAGCATTTAGTATCCAGGCTGGCTACGTTACGTTAGCTTGTTAGCACGTAGCGACCGTAGCCACTTGTTGATAGAATTGTATGTGAAGTTAAATTTATGCTAACTTAGATATGGTATACTGGCCAGGTAACCATAGTTTCAGTTAAATTGCAAGTTTGATTAAAGCAGACAGATGTTTTAGGTAATCAAGGAGCTGCAAGTGAACTATAGTTAACACAAAACATCTCAGCAGCTACACATGTATGCTAAATGCTAAAACGAACTGAAACAATTTATCAGGATAAGACAAAATAAAAATAATACGCCACACATAATTCAGAACAACTTTAACCTAGATTTTCATACACAAAATAGCCATTGCTAGGGGAACCACTGCAGGGATGCAAACTCCCAATGTCTTTATTTGGTGACATAAAATGCTGCTCTGTTTATCTGCACATTACTATTACAAGGACATTTGATTTGAATTGGCATCAATATTAGTACAACCAAAATGCATACACACATAAAAATGTCTGCAATTTATTCCTGCATTAAATGATAGTTAGGCTGTTTGTATGAGTTTGAAATGGATTGTCAAATGTAGTTTTTACAGTGACTTAGTTTTTGTTAATGAAAAAAAACGGACCTATATGCCACTTATACACTTGGAATTCCTGTTATGCTGTGCATCTATCCTGACATTGTATTAATTTCTGTTCCAGATTGAAGATACACCACCACCAACAACCACCCAGAAACAATGACAGGCCAGCTATACAAGCTTCCTTAATTGCCCACACCAAATACAAAGCTGACTCTCAGGACTAGCAAGCTATGCCTTGTTTCACCTTAAATACTGTACCTTTATATACCATGTGAACTAGCTGGCAGGAAAGCACTTTTGTTGTATCAGTTTAGTTTTTTTTTTTCACATTGACCTCAAATCTATTTATTTTATTATTCTATGTGAACTAGCTTTAAACAGCCAGCACTTGTGTAAAGTTCATAAGACACTTTATTTTTTTTCTTTTGTCAGGTGTATTTTATTTGTTTTAATGCAAGCATTTGTGTTTGTGTTTTTGAACCTTAACAACGTTCAAAATAAATATGCAAATATTGTCAGAACATCTTCCATGTCTGTATGTGTTCCTTGAAATTGTGTTTTTTTTTATGAAAAAGATGAGAAAATGTTGAAATGTTAAATATTTTTAGGAAATTTTAAATATTATCTGCTGGCAAAAAAGTAAAAGGTTAAAATTATGTGCTGACGAAAACTAGACTAAAATGTTGACAGTTTAGGTTGACTAAAACTAAACAAATAAAATTATGTTTTCTTAGACTAAAATAAAGACTAAAATGCTTGACTTATAGTCGACTTAAACTATACTAAATAAAAATGGGATGATGTCGACTAAATGTGATAAAAACTAACAAGCGATGCTGAAACTGGACTAAAACTGAAACAAAATTTAAAAACGGCTGGTAAAATTAACACTAGTGTGGACATTGGCTGCTCTTTTTGCATGGAGTTTGCATGTTTTCCCTGAGCACTTGTCGGTTCTCTCCGGGTATTCCAGCTTCCTCACACAATCCAAAAACACGACTGCGCTCCAGACCGTCTGAGCAAAGAAAAGCCTACAGCCTCAGGTGTTCCTCCCATCTTGCTCTGCTCTGACTTCTTCAGAGTTTGTGGTGAGCATGCGCAACATTATTAAATTCAAAGGAGAAAAACATGTGGAAATGCCCAAAACATGTGGAAATGCCCAAATATTTTCTTTTTTGTTGATTTGTGTAACAGGGGTAACTAGGCTCATGTTTTGTATGAACTATGTTTGTTTTCTACTTCCAAACTTAGCATCTCTTATCCGTGCCTACAATAAGCGTCTTGGTATGAAATAAATAATTTAAAGGAGATGAGAAATCTGCTTATTGGTATGAGGAAGTACCAATAGTCTGCATCCAATCATTTAATCCAACGCTCTCAGTTTTCGGGAATATATGAGTTATGCTCTAATTTGCAGTTACCGATCTGTCGTTACCATATTTTAATTTGACAAACCAGATTTTCTTGCCGTTCTTTTTCTTGTTTGGTGCGATTGCAATCATGGATATGGACCTGGCCGGACCGGAGCGGAGCTAATAAAAGCTCAGCTCCGTATTTTGACAGCAATGGACGGAGAAGACGTATGTGGACGGTCACGTACGAA